GCCCCCCGAAGGAAGCAGTGGCGGGTGTTATTGGCGCCGCGCAGAAAAGGCCGACCCTGAGGCGCCGGGAGGGACTGGCCTCCAGGGAGGGCGCCCGGCGGTCCTCCGGGGCGCTCGCCCCCTCGGTCCCTCAGCCCCACCCCATCCTCAGAACCAGCCCCGGCCCCCTGTCGGCTAGTTGGGGTATCCTCAGAAATCCTAGGAGAAATGCAAAGGGAGTGAGCTTTCGGTAAAAAATTAAAAGTAAGTATATAAGGAGAGGAGTTAGATAAGGAACTGGGGAAGGTTGCCTCTTAGGAGAGAATTGGGTGCCTGGAGGTATGAGGTGAGGAACTTTTCCCTCTCTATCCTTTTAGACTTTAACTCGTTTATTTGTATTCCCCCTCCCCCTGAAAACAATTTAACTTAAAAAAAAAAAAATTGGAAGGGAAGTATTCCGATGAACTAGAAACATTTACGAAGTACTTGGTTTGGGGCGCATGGTGGCTAAACATGCCAGTGGGGGCACTGGCATCCTGTCCCTCCCCTGCCCTGTCTGCAGAGCTTAACCAGAAAGCCCTCCCCTTCAAATTTTAGGCATTCCCGCTTCCCCATCTTTGTTTTGGCTCAACATTTCCTGAGGCGGGACTGTTGAGGATATTTTTGTTAAAATATTGACGTGCAGATTTACTTCAGTGTGGAAAATACTGCCACTTGTGGAATTACCAAAACCAGTCTTCATTTCAAACCATTAGCCTAAATGGTCATCAGTCAAGTCAGAATTACTTTCCATTAGGAAAAAGTTTTGACTTTATTCTTCAATTTAAATAACTATGTTAATACTCATTTTAAAGAATATGATAAAAATAACTGGAAAATAAATGATTAACTGTAGCTTATAAAATAGATTAAAAATCATGGCAAAATTATATAGATGTGCCCTAGCAGGTTTGGCTTAGTGGTTAGAGCGCTGGCCCAAGGACTGAAGGGTCTCAGGTTCGGTTGTGGTCAAGGGCACATACCTCAATTGCAAGCTCAAGTGGGGGCACCTTCAGCGGGCAACCAATCAATGTGTCTCTCTCACACTGATGTGCCTCTCTCCCCCCTTTCCACTCTGAAAAGCAATAGAAAAAATATCCTTGAGTGAGGATTAAAAAATAATAAGTTGTATATTCCAATAATTTTGTTAGACTTCATGATCAAACTTTTTCTCATGTATTTAATAAAAAATAATGGATTGAGCAGCTAACAAATCACTTCATTTTTTACAAGTAGGAGGTAGAAAAGAATAAACATTATATCAATTGAAATACATGAGGACTGAGTATAATGGGAATATTTTGTGGTTGTTTTTTTTTTTTTTTTAAATATATCTTTATTGATTTCAGAGAGAAGAAGGGAGAGGGGGGAAGAGAGATAGAAACATCAATGATGAGAGTCATTGATCGGTTGCCTCCTGCACGCCCCTAACTGGAGATCAAACCTGCAACCTGGGCATGTGCCCTGACTGGGAGTTGAACCCTGATCACCTGGATCCTAGATCGATGCTCAACCGCTGAGCCACACCTGGCCAGGCGGGAATATTTTGGTACGAAAAGAAAAAACAATCCCTCCGCCCTACTCCCTACGTTTTTACACCCTGCCATGCATTAAGATTCAGTGTAGGTGAGGGATATGCCTTTCTTTTGTAAAACAGGACAAGGACTGTGCTGAAAGAGGAGGTGGAATGGAAGTGTGCATGAATCTGATGGTTGGCTCTCAAAGAGATATGTTTTAGGGAAGATTTTTTGTAAATGTTGAAGATCTAGAAATGTGTCCCCTTAAACCTCTCCTCAGATTGATTTCATTGCCTGGGAAGGTCCTTCATGTACCCCATTTTAAATACTACTTGATTTAGGCAGACCCATATTCCACTGACTCTGGACTAGACATTATTCTGGGACATCATTGCAAGTGTCCTAGGAAGGAGGAAGACTTGGTGTTTTTGTGATATGAGGAGGTCAAGAGGGAAGTCAGAGGATGACCCCAACTTGTCATAGTCAGAATGGTCCTGGATATGGTCCTCAGCTTTGTAGAAGTGTGATTTTGTCAGTCCACACAAAAGTATTCATGTTTTGTCACACTAAGTCAAAGGTGAATTATAAAATAAAAGGCCAGAAATTAATTTATACTCATAGCCACCAATGGATTCTCTCTCTTGGGAAATCTTGTGGAAAGGTCAGTTGTAATCACAATCTTACACAAGGAGTGTGGATCTTGAGCGTGGCTGTTGTTATCAAGCTATGAGAGCCTGATGCACAATGCCTGTCATGTAACGGGAGCTCAGTAATTGTGAAATGAGTGCACCTGTCTATAGATGCTGAAGGGGGAAGTTCAGGATTCTAGTAGGCCAAAGCACCATTTTTTTGGATCAGTTGGATTTTTTTCCTTGTTCCTATTAAATGGCTATATCATGTAGGTATTAAGTCCAGTAAAATTTCATGTCAGGGAATTCTAAAATTGCCACAATTAAGATTTACCTATCATCTGAGCCTATAATTTGGGGCTGTTCATTTATAAGAGGTTGGAGACTGCGCTCCTGTGCTCTGTAGTAATGGTGGTAGTGCCTGAGTGATCTGTATTTCAGAATTCTATTTAATGGCTAAGAATATACTGGATAAGAACCACCTTGGGTGAGTCTCAGTGCTTGTACTTTGCTAGAGGTAGGACATCTTAACTAGGGAGGTGTCTGAGCCACTTGTGACCTGGCCAGATTTGGGGAACTGTACTGTGATGAGGAACAATATCCTAAATTCCCCGTACTCCCTAGATCCCCCTTGTGGGTATTTTTTTTTTAATTCTTACTTCGGATGTTTTCCACTGACTTTTAGAGAGAGTGGAAGGGAGGGAGGAGGGAGAGAGAGAGAAACATCGATGTGAGAGAGACACATCAGTTGGTTGCCTCCTGCACCCACCTTGACCAGGGCCAAGGATTAAGCCTACAACCGAGGTATGTTGACTGGGAATTGAACCTAAGACCCTTTGTTCTGCTGGCCAATGTTCTAACCACTGAGCAAAACCGGCCAGGGTGCAGGGGATAATTCTTAGTACTGCTTTTAAAAATAGACAAAAGAGACAAGCCTTTTCATATTCTAAAACCATTAGGAATAAGTTAAGTCTATGCAGAAGCCAGAAGACACTTTGTCTCCTCAAAGCTTTTTCCAGCTCTAGGATAAACTATATAGAGGAAAAGATGCCAGACTGAGGAGTTTCATTTAGTATTTTAATAATAATAAAAAAGTCAATACAAAATCCAAACATTTATTTTTACAAGTTCAGATACATTTTTTCCCCAAGTGCAAAATATTCTATGAACTGCATCAATTACTGTTTATTGTTGATTGTGTAGGAGACGCTTACTATATCGGTAGCAGTGGAAGGCAGATATAAATACATATTCTGAGATTTCTTCTGCACAAAAAAAAAAAAAGCCTCCCACATGATAATGATTATTCTGAAACTTCAGTCACACAAAAGAGTAAATTTTTCAGTTTGTCCATACTGCTACAGTCAGTTGTCTAAATAAGCTGATAACAGAACTGGGGATTCTATTCCCTCTAACATTTTCTTAAAGGGTTCCTAGTCCAAACAATGGCCCAAGGAGAGGGTGTGCTACCATTGAGACAGGTTGAATTTAAAGATATCCTTGTGTTGTTTGCTTCTATTTTTTTCTTACTGTGTTTAAGAAAGAAGCCAAGCAGGTTAACACTATTTCCTGCTTATGGTCAGTTATCCTTTGTCTCCCTTCGTAGTTTGAGCCTCTTATATTGAGGTGAAGCAGCAAATACAAAAGTTTGAATGTCCTATAACATTTTCTGACATTTTGAGATATGACCTCCTAATCCATTCCAGAATCACCTCAAACATGCATATGGAGAACATTCTCAAATATAAAAGTTTCATTAGGGCAAAAAATCAGGACTGTATTACTGAACTGTAAGCAACAAATCTGAGACTCCACCACCTCAAACTAAACCAATCCTGGGAAAGTCAGAGCAGTCACAGCTCTGGGCATTTGTAGGCCTAGGACAGGTGGCAGCTCAAGTCCAGACTCTGCTCAGTTTTCTTCTTACTCTGAGAGTTCCCTCAGGTTTAGGGAATGGGCCTGGCCTAATACAGAAAGAGGAAGGCCAAGAAATAGAAGGGATTACATGTTGCTGAGGCTTTAATGCTTTTCTGATATGCATCACTTGGTGCACACAGCCCCAGCAGAAATGGCTTCCCATTCCCAGACTCAGATCAGGACTGGTTTTATACTAGGATAAATGAGGCTTTACAGTACTGTGGGCCTGTAAAAACCCATCCTGCACAGTGGCCTCTGGGCTGATTCGTGAAGGATTCCCACTTACACCACCTTTACATTTCCCCACACTGGTAAAGCCCCCCTTTTCTGTCTGGCCTATAAAGGCCTAAGAGAGTCCCTGAGTGTTGACTCCTCATTCAGTCCACTTAATCCCTAGTTTGATGCCCCAGGGCTGGCTTCCTCCATAGGTTAAGCAAGCAGCTTTGCTTGTGTTCTTAACCCCCCAATTTGGACAACCTAAATTAAACTTGGTGGACATTAGCAGGTCTTCACCTGCTCACCAAGATCTGCCTTGATGTCAATTAAGAAGCCTAGTGGCCCATACTTTCCATACTGTAGAAATCATTTGCAGATCTCAGAAACCACGGAATAAATGATTGGAGGAAGTATGTTTGTATATGTATGGGGTGACAGGAAAGGAAGAGCACAAGAAGCCAGACCCTGAAGGCAAAAATTGGGAAGCACTCCCGGCTGGCTTTCTAAGAGAGATGGAAATGGTAGGAAGAGAGGAATCAGAAAGCTAGCCTAGCTTCTGGTGTAGAATCAAGATGGTCAAAGTTGATTAAAGCAGCTTTCATGGCATCTCCTGGGACGAATGGATACTTCCATTAAACGGCCATTTCCCTGCTTGGAGGCAACCATTTTGGATCTTTATAGTGACACCCTCTTTGATCCAGAGAGACAAAGTCAGCGAGACACTCCACCCCTAAGAGCCTCGGTGTTGACTAATGGATGTGAGGGGATCTAGCTGTGGCATTGGCTACATACTCCCTAAGGCTGTTTTGGCTAGCCAGGGGGGTCCGGCTCCTTTATTTAGTGTTGAGTCTCCCGGGGGAGCAGTAGCCTGGGACAGTCACTTAGAAATAAACACTACGAGTCAACTGGTAGTCTTTGATTGAACAGGACTACAGCTTTGGGGAAACTAGGAGCAAGTGGAAATAATTTTACAGGCAGCAGTGGGCTGAGTGTGGAGTGTGCAGGATCTGGGCTTGGGCATGGACTTGCTGCTGCTTCCTCCTGAAAAGCAGTCCTTGAGGAAGCTAGACTTGAAGTCAATTCCGAGAGGGGATGGCCAAGCTCAGGCGAACAACTTCACGCCTGGATAACTGTCCTGCTCTTGGCTTCCTCAGCCTTGTCTCTGGCCTCAGGGCCCTGAGTCAGCCCATCCCCAGGGGGTTTGTCCTGGTCTTCCATGTGAACATCAGGGGAAAACAGAAGGAAGGCAGGGAAAAGATGGGAGGTTTCTCTCTTGGGGTGGAGAATCACTGACCAATTCCATCGGCTTCTACAGTCATAAGGTCCATATGGAATCCAAGGAGAGGCATAGGGATAGCAGGATTGGTTTAGTAAATACAGATCCCTTTCCTTCCTGCTCCATAAAGTCCCTAGAATTACTGTCTTACACATCAGGTGCCTCTGAGCTGCAGCTCTGGCTTACCCATGCCGAGGGCTCAGGAGGTCTGGATGGCCACCGGTTGAGGAGTAGAGACAGATCAGATGCTCCAGCACTCAAAGTTCATGAGATTCAAAACCTTGTTCTTCACTCCAAACATATACTCTTCTCTTTGGGGAAGCTATAAATAGGGTTTTTCTAATAGAGGAGAAAGAAAAACAAAAAACAAAACCAGAAAACAAAAACCCTTCCCTCTAGACAACATAGACTTAAAATGATTGCACTTATTAGATGTGGACAGGGTGGGCAGAAGGCTTGCCAAGTGCACACACATTCCTCTTGCTGCCCACAGCCTGGGGCCAGAGGTAGGTGGCTCTGGGCTGGCTGCAGAGTGGGGTCCTCTTTGGTGGAGCCCACAAGCCATCTGGGGCTACAAGGGAAAGACAAAGCTGGGGTAAGGCCCAGGCTGGCTTTCGCTTAGCAGCCATGTTTCTTTAAGGACAACACTTAGCATGGGGAGTTGGGCTCCCCCAGGGAGCACTCGGGCCGGGGTGAGGGGATGGCTGGGCCAGGGAAGACAAGTAAGAAAAGGGATTAGTGTTTGAGGCTGGTTTCCAGTTCTGTAGTCTAGTCCTTTAGTTGATGCAATTTCTTTCCTTTTTTTTTTTCTTTTTCTTGGCGATGCTATAGAACCTGGTTTCTGTCTGGCAGAGCTATAGTCTTTCTCTTGAGGAGTGACAGCAGTGCTTTCAACATGGCAATGCCTGCTGTTCTTCCTCATTCAGCCGGTGTCCACTAGCCCAGTGGTGTGGGCCTTTTGTAAGGTCTCATGGATTGGACCCCAGGCAGACAGGGGAAGAAGTGAAGGAGCTGTCTAGACACAGAAGCGGCTGTGTTGGGTGGTCCAGGGCTCAAACCGCGTGTCCCAGAGGACCAGTGCTAGCACTAAGTCTGTAAGTCAAAGGCTTCTTTGGCAGAACCCTGGGCTGTTAGAATCACCTGGGGGGTGCGGGGGGGACAGCCAGGGGACATTTTGGCTCCTGACTAGTAAGGCACAACCTTATAATGGCAGAAGCCCTCTTCTCCCTCCCCACTCCCCAGTAGACCTACTTCTTTCTGGGCCTCTAGCACTCTTCCAGGCTGATGGGGTTAGGGATGTGAGCTGGTAAAATGGGCATTGTGGCTGGGGAAGGGAGGGTACTGTTCCTTCACCCCTCAGGGGGAATAGAGCCAGCACTGAATGGCTTTTTCAGGGAGCATGTAGTAAAAGGAAAAACAGGAGAGAGGAAAAGAGAAAGACAGAGAGACAAGAAAAGGAAGCTAGAGAGACAGAAAGGGAGAGTTCTTGGTCTATATAGTGATATATTTTTTCTCTGAAGAGAGAGCGGTGAGAGTTCCTCCTCTGAGGGTGGAGGCTGCCGGCTGTGAGGGCTAAGGAGTCTGGGTTTTCAAAACCTGGGTCTTGGGCATAGGGCACTATTTGTAGGGCCTCAGGAAGCTGGAGACTTTGGAGCGGAGCAGCTTGATAAAGGATTTTGGCAGCATCTCCTTATGCTTCTCTGTATACTTGAAGTAGTTCTGGGGGTGAGCCAGCACCTCAAAAAAGGCCTTGATGAGCTTCTTGTCCTGCAGAGGATGGCAGGTGGCAATGTTAGTATCAGTAGTGGGAAAGAGGAACGCCAGCCTCAACTCAGCAGCAGCCCCTCTTGATGTCTAATAAGCATACTCAAGAGGTGAACCGGATCCCCATCCCCACTACCTGTCCCTCCTTTAGAATTCTACAACTTAATGGCAGCCCCATCCTTTCATTCCTCAGGTCCCAGTCCTTAGAGCCATCCTTGTTTCTGTTTTGCTCACAACCACAGCAAGTCCTGTTGATTCTACCTTCAAGATATATCTACTTTTCACTGTCTCCACAGCTAGCACCTCCTCTAAGCCACCATCATTTCTCACTTGGACTATTGCAACAGCCTCCTTACTAGTCTCCATGCTTCTACCTACCCTGTGCTTCTACAGACTGTTCTCCCCAAACCAGCCAGAGTGACTTTTTTAAATTTTTAATTAGGTCATGTCCTTTGCCCATTCAAAACACTTTCCTGCTTCTTTTCACTTAGTAAAGCCGAGTCCCTTGCATGGCCCATAGGCTGAACGTGATCTGTGCCCTGTTCTCTCTTGTCCATCACCCCTTGACTCTTCCTTATTTTCTGACCACACTGGCCTTCTGAAAGTTCTTGAACATGCCACACTGCTCCCATGCTCCTCAGCTTGGAATGCTCCTCTCCTGATCGTCTGACAGGCGGTCCTTTACCTCATTCAGGTCTCTTCTCAGAGGCCTTCCCGAACTACCTGTCTGAAATGGCAACATGATGTGAGGAGAGCCTACTAGGTGCTGGCACTGTGCATTAGGACTCAGATCTTCTGGCTTCTAGGCTACTGTTCTTTCCATTGCATCAGCGGATTTTTAAAATAAGAGGGGCTTCCAGCCTCTCGTCTCCACTTTAATCAAGACGGCTCCACTACTTTATGCATTAGAGTTCCATAGCACATTTGAAATAAGAGTTCAGATGCTTTAAAAAATGTTTAAAAAGCATTTCTGAAATTAATATTCTTTGCCATCTGCATGTTCTAGGAGATTTTTGTCATGTCCATTATTTTGATGATAATACAAAAATTACTAACCATAGAGACAAACCTTTTTTAAATGAATCATTTATGAAGGACTGTGACTAGGACTAGTTTCTTAAGTAAGATTTTCTCAAACTGGGATCCACAAGTCCCAGGTGTCTAGTCCATTCTTCAATGCTAGAAACATTTCTTTTCCCTTAAAAGAGGTCTAGCCTGGCCGGTGTGGCTCAGCGGTTGAGCATCGACCTAGGATCCAGGAGATAGCAGTTTGATTCCCCGTCAGGGCACAAGCCCAGGTTTCGGGCTCGATCCCCAGCAGGGGGTGTGCAGGAGGCAGCTGATCAATGACTCATCATTGATGTTTCTCTCTCTCTTCCTCTCCCTCTGAAATCAATAGAGATATATTTTTTGAAAACAGAGGTCTATACTCAATTAACTGAGAAATGCTGTGCTAATCTGCTTTTCTGTGGGAGCCGAGGAGGGAGTAAGGGAAGGAGGGAACTTAGGCAAAAGCATCTCTCTATACCTCATTTTCCCTCTAATTTTTGGAGGAGGAGGTGAGGGCCACTTCACCTCCTCCTGCCTTTGTCCTCCACCAAGGCGTGGGTGATACTACACTCATGTGGGCTTAGGCTCAAATCCCAGCTTAACCTCTGGGCAACTTCTGTAATTCCCTGTGCCTCAGGTTTCTCACCTGTAAAGTGGGAATGATGAAAGTACCTAATTCACAGAGCGATTGTGTGTATCAACTGAGAATATTCATGTAAGCACATAGCACCTTGTCTGCACATTGTTACACGTTCATTAAATGTTGGTTGTTGTTTAAACTTGCTTGCCTTTAAAATCTCCTGGTGGTTTTCAGATGCGTAGAGCCGGCCATCTCGCACAATGTCTTCTACCAGCTGCTCATAGTCCTCTGCAAAGTGAATCAAAGGGAGGAGCTTAGGGGTGGAACCCTCCTGTTCCCCTTGCTGTCCCCCAAGGCTGATGAGCCTCCCATTTTTCACCAACCTCCCTGGCTCTCCTGCCCTTGCTTACCATCATAGGTAACATAAGGGATCTGGAAGCCACGGGCACTGTTGGCTTCACTTGTCTTGAAGTTGATCCAGAGCTTCCTGGAGCGGGCTGTGAAGGCAATGGGGCGCTCGTAGGTCTGGCAGGTCTCGTAGGTGGTAATGGAGGCTGGGGATGCTGGGGAGGCAAGCAGCATGTCAGGCAAGCAGCAGGGCAGGCCGCTCAAACCCTCCTGGGGGGAGGGCTGTGGGAGGAGGACTTGTGCTGAGAGCTGTCCCCTGTGCATGCACCCC